TTACTTTTACTTTACTACTACTACTACTACTACTACTACTACTACTACTACGGATATCTCCCCTCGTTTGAGGGGATTATGGCTCATAATCCCCTCAAACGAGGGGATCCCATATCCACAGGAAATCTTGTGGATCCCCTCGGACGGTGGGTCGGACCCAGTCCTTCTACCAGCATAACCAAGAGAGCTAGCTCCCTTGGCTGCTGTTTGAATATGCAAGAATGGGCCTTCCAGATAAGGTCTAAAAAGGGGAAGTGGCTATAGTTGTCAAAAGAAAAGCATATTGGGGAAACAAAACTAGGGAAGAGGCAATCTTTCTATCAGCAATAAACAAGAGCATCTTTATTTACAGCATACTACATGAACCGGATGTGCCGAACACCGGTAACCATAGAGACAGACCACACTCGCATATAGATTATTATTAATACTGGTCATAAATAGACCGGATAAAGAAAATAATCCGATAGCCCATGAAGAGTAAAAGAAATTGAACCAATCACAACAAAAATGCTCGTCCAGTAGCCCTTTCCCGAAGGTACTCTTTTAATTCGCACTTAGTGCTTTTCGCGTCCCTCAAAATATGCCGAAAAGTGCTCTTTTTTCAGTGAAAACAGGCAAAAAGGGCTCTTTTACATGTTCAGATATGAACCCAAGCTGAGAAATGAATACTAGTACGCACTCTTCCATTTATGGGTCCACGAAAGGCAAAACAGGAAGTTAAGTTAAAAAAAAACCCACTTTTTACAGCATTCTGTACACCGGGTACAAGCTTCACCAACTTGTTGCCCCTCCCCCCCCCCCCCCCCGAAAATGCGGCGTGCCAAGGCCCATCCGGATCGAGCACTCGGAAACTGTGACCGCATGCATGAGCAAACAGATTTTAGCACTTTTTCAGCTAAAAAAGCTCCAAAAGGGCGATATTCACCAAAAACGAAATAAAGGGCGAAAGAAACGGGCTTTTCCAAAAAGGGCCAAAAAGAGCGAAAAAAAGGGCTATCGTCCAGCACACGAGTTGTCATAGAAACATTAGAGAGGTTAAGATGCACGTTATTTCCGACGTGACGCGAAAGTTCAGCTCGCGTTATTTGCTCGCACGTCGAAAAATCAACGCGAGCGACCTGCTGCTCACGTCGAAATTTGGAGTTTTACGCCAAGTTCGACGTGAAATTGCGCGTCACGTCGGAAATAACGTGCATCTTAACCTCTCTATTGCACGAAATGACAAAGACGCATAGTAATGATACTAATGTAATGAGCATCGCCGTTCAATGCAAAATTGGTTTCTAGGTCAGTATTTGGAAATTTCCTTCTTTCACAGACCTGAAAGACAAACCGTTGCAGCAGTTAGCCTACTACTAACTCAATGTCATTGGTTCTACATGTGGCATTCACGCTTTACTGGTCTTGTCAAATTTACACAACACAATCCATCTTATTTCGGATACTCTTACAACATTAGACTAAGCCATAGGACGGACGTCAGTGTCTGACAATTCTTCATTGTAGTCTTTGATTTGTACTGGGAATAAATCGCCTCCACGCAGCATATTTTGTTGGTGTCAGACGAACAAAGCATCTCAAATTATTTTCAAATGATTACAATATCTACTATTTCGTCGTCTTGACTTGATCACAATCAGCACCGCCTTTTCTCACGGTCTTGTCAGCTACCAACAAGCAGCGGACTTCATGAGGCTTCCTTCGTCTTGGGAGACAAACCAAAGAAAGTGTGTGACATTCCGCACTCGCCTCAGTCAAACCAACAAGTGGATCTACATGTAAACCAGGAGAGGCGACGAGCGAATGACTATGTCAGAACTAACTTCAGTGTTCCGTTCGCACTGCACATGTACTGTGTCTGCGCTGCTGGTCACCCGAAAAGTGTGGTTTATACAGGATATTGCACAGTGTCCGCGAGGATTATTTTTCATAATCCCCGCTGCGCTGCGCGCCTTGGGGATTTGAAAAATAATCCCCTCGGAACCGTGCAATATCCTGTAAACTATAAAGTACGTTGTTCTGCTTCGGCATTTCTGATTGCCTGATTGCCGAGAAGCTTGTCGTAATGAGCTAGGGGTAAAATATGTGAATACTAAAATATTAAAACACGGCTGGTTTGATAGGAATTAAATTCTATTGTTGAATATTGAACACAGCCGGCGATCATGGAGTGGAGTTCTACAAACGAATGCCCTATCGTTCACTTCCACAACCGGCTCCAGGCACGCTTGTCGCCAGCCATCTCCCTCAAGTTCTGCAAATCTTTCGTATTTTCCATGGCAATATCCTTCCCTGCCAGGTCCTGTTTGTAGCCCTTGGCGGATTATGCCGGCATAATATTTGGCATAACCTTGGGATTTCGTCAAAACATTATGCTCCGGCATAATATACGGATTCCAACGTGCAAGGTCGGCATAATCTTTCGGTTTAGACAAAAATTATGCTTAGGGGCATAATATAGCTTTGCCAGAAAGCCTGCAGATGTTTTTTGTTTAAATACCCCAGTTACGACTCCTTGTCATAGCCCTTGGCGGATTATGCCGGCATAATATCTGGCATAATCTTCGGATTTCGTCAAAACATTATGCTCCGGCATAATATACGGATTCCAACGTGTAAGGTCGGCATAATCTTTCGGTTTAGACAAAAATTATGCTTAGGGCATGGCCGTGTGTGTATGCGTGGTTTCTCAATCCTCTATGTACAGCGTGAATACATAGTGGAACCGAGCATAATTCAGCATAATTCAGCATATTTGTTGGCATAATTGTGGCATAATCAAAAGCATAATTTGACGATTGGCCGAGCATAGTCCGCCAATGGCTACCTGTTTAATTGTTGTAGCGAGGGTGGTGAGTGGTCGGCCCCTTCTGCCTGGCCCGGTATGCGCCAGATAGCTCTCCATTGCTTTTCGTGGAGGGGTGTCGCCATCCAGTCGAAGCATATGTTCCAGCATGGACATACGGCGTTTCTGAATCATCCGGCAAACCGGTAATACGTATCTAATAATTATTTGTTTGTTTGTATACATGTACATGTACATTATTTGAATTCGCAAATCCAAACGAGCACAAAATGCTCAATGACAAGGCAGTGAATATGTTATTATGTTACAGGGAAGGAGCGTTGGGGAGAAGATGAGGAGAAAAAAGAGAGAATGATAGATATCTCAATGAAGAGCGAAGCGTTATCAAAACTACAAGTAAGCCAGCGAACGACAGTTCTGTTACCCGCCTAATAAACTAAGTACTTTAATAATATTGACTTCGTACTTGGTCAATATTGGAAATAAAAGCCGAGTATACGACCGAGGCGAAGCCGAGGTCTTTTATTTCCTATACTGACCAAGTACGAAGTCAATATTAGGTCTATCACGACTAGCCAAAGCCTGTGTTCAACCCCTAAAAAGGAGTCAAAACTAATATAAGCGGTCAATATAGCCCTAAGGTCCAGGAGTGAAATATGCAGGAATATTTGACTGCTTAGCTATAGCAAGAACCTATGGGAGTGATAATCACCAAGATCGTGATAGCGGCTTCGGCGATGATTAGATAAGAAAGGTGTTTGCTCCCCACACTGAAGCTCGAGCTTTTCCGCCGACTTGACTTGACACTTGACTGAGTCACAACTCGACTCAGAGTCAGACTACCACTGTACCAGTAAGACAACTCCCGGCCTAGAATAAAGAGGGTCAGAACCACCGGGTCTAACACCCATACCGTTCAGATGGTCAGAAAGACCGGGGCTCTACCAACCGTGGATGGTCGCACTCATGGTACTTGAGTATTACGGTCACTGTTTCCGAACACGGTGTCCTCCGCCTTGCTACATGCTGTCAATCAACAACATGTTTTCAACAAAACAAGGTTTATCTAATACCCTGTACAATCATGTACACTACATGACTGTATAAATGCAATTGTTAGATTGACAGCATGAAACAAAGTGGAGGACACCGTGTTCAGAAACAGTGACCTTTCTACAACCATCCACGGTGGTGAAGGCCTACCCATGGCCGCGTCGCGACATCACCAACCTCGTCTACAGAGAGCACCTCGTCAAGACAGTGTCAGGGTGGTGACAGTGACTGTTGTCAGCTGACGAGCTGAGAAAGGGACGCCATGGGCAGAAGTTGGAAGAAAAAAAGAGTGTGAAAAGGAAAACAATTCAGGTTAAAATTGTTACTATGTTTTATGACTATTTAAAAGAAGACATCCAGGAGCAATCACAGAATACACGACTGACGTTAGGAGAAGTCTAAAAAATCTCCCCTGGAATAAAGAGGGTCAGAACCGGGTCTAGACCCATACGGTTCAGATGGTCTCAACAGACCGGGGCTTTGGATGGTTGTAGAAAGGTCACTGTTTCCGAACACGGTGTCCTCTACCTTGTTTCACACACTGTCCAACCTCCTGGCCACCCCAAATCTGGACACCCTAGTACCCTCTATAGTCGGTCTAAATTTTCTTTTCTTTCTATATAACTGAAAAGATCTGAATGCACCCGACGTGATACAGGTGGGCATAAAGCTGCCACGGCAGCCAACAAAAATAATGTGCTTTCGGATACTACAGGGTGGCAAGTACCGGTAAGTAATATTAGTTGCATGAACACGAGCTCGTGAGCTCGGTGTCCGAAGAGTGCACGCATCAGCCATCTTTTCCGTGTGATCAATCGTGATCTGTTGTCGGAGTCAAGACGTGAAAAGCAGGACAACAGTGTCGATTTTCATGAAGTCTGGACAAAAGGCGTCCGGATGAGCACCTCGGCAGGACGCAGGACAATTTCTCTCAATTCCGGACTGTCCAGACGAGGTCTGGACGGTTGGACAGTCTGGTTTCACGCTGTCAACCAACAACATGACTGTGTGAACTAAAACAAGGTTTATTGCACGCAGACCATGGTAGAGGACCTGATAAGACTTGAACGTCTAGTGGTAGTACAGCTAGAGACGTGGAGCCTAGACGTGTGAGACTGTGAGATGATGAGGGATTCCTAGCTGAGACGCAGCGCTAAAATTGAGAAGTAATGAGGTGACATGACGCACGGACGGTCTACAACGCCAACGGTCTACTACAACGGTCGGTCTACCACCCACAGCTCCAGCACTGCAGCACTGCCAGCTCGTCAGGCCCCTGCGCACGCGACTACACGTCTACAGAGTTCCCCCCTGAAGAAAAAAAAGTGAGTCATGCCACCAGTACTAGAATCTTGTTTTCCAGGCACTTGTCGTCCCACGCAGTGCAGTCAGTGTTTATTTGGTTTGATTACAGTCGGTAATGGAACAGGAAGGTTGTGTGGTGTTCGAGCTGGTCATTTTGTATAGCGTTTTGTCACGAGCTCGTGCTAGTTCTGCGGGGAAGTGAAGACTCCTTGCGGCCATCGCCGGACCGCGGAGTTGGAGGAGCCGCTATCAATTGCCAGCTGCTTAGTGCAGCATCGGCAGGTAAAGTTTACGATTATTATTATTTTGTGTTTCCTGAATATACCATACAGTGTATCCTGGAATGCGTGCGCTGTTACCGTACTAGGTAGAAAAATACCTGTAGCAAGAGTACATCACCCGGGGTTACCAGGGTTACACAGACAGCAGAACGAGTAGTTGGGGTTTCGTAACTCTGAGTTTCACGAACTTAATCGATCATCAGACAGGGGGGGGGGGGTGTTATGTAGTCTTGGTACTAGCTGTAGCAGTTTTCCCCTGACCCTGTACAAGACAACCCATTCTAAAACAATTCTTATCGAACCCCTCCTATACAAGACAACATGAAACATTGATCGAGCTACAGGAGCTAGAAAAAAACCCAGAGAAATCACTTTCAAACTTTCCGCCTAGTTGCTGGCAGGGGAACATAGGGGCATCCGAGCAATTTTGTAATCCATGGTCATTTGCTTTGTCTTGTAATGACTGGGAATCGAACCTGTGAGACAGCTAAAGGTGATTTTTATAATGAATTTTTCTACAAACGAATTGTCTCTTATCCGGATTTGCATATACTACCATTATACAAATGAGAGTCCTCCAGCTCAGTAGAGTGCTCAAATAGAGCTATCTTACACACGACACAGAGCACCACACATCATTCGTTGCCGATGGGCATGAAACAATAAGTTACAAGGAATGATTCGTGGTGCTCTGTGTCGTGTTTTTTGTTTGTTGGTTTTTTTACTACGTTCACATACCCAACTCATAAATAATACAGAAAGACAATGGTACTGAGACAAGGACAAACGTGAAAACTACTGAGAAGGGGCTGCACCGAGATGCAGCAGTGATGGTGGGGCATTGATGGCTCTGCCGACCTGAGGTCTCGGCATCACGGCCAGAAACACGCACCAAAAACAAAAGATAGAGCTGTAAGGGTCAGCAAAAATAAAAATAAAGCAAGGGCAAACAACAGCTAGTACTAGTGTGCAGCGCATTCGTAGCAATGGGAGTCGTTGACGGGGCACTAGAATGTAGGTGGGTTGACAGGCAGAATGTCCGTGGACCATCGCCAATCCTGTCGGCGGAGGTACTCGTTGACGTTGCACTTAAACTTTTGAAGATTTTTGCGAGTTGGGGTGGAGTCTAGAAAAGCTGGCGGCAGGGAATTCCACAGCTGGATTGCACAATGTAGGAAGCTGCGGAGAATGGTGTCTGGTGCTTGACGCGGTAGGGGATTCCGTAGCTGGTAACTGTGGCCGGCGACCATGCGGAGATCGTTTCGAGTGCGAGTGGCGTCACGGGGCTCAAGCCTTGGTGGGAGGGCTGCTAGCAATTGAGTTGGACCGGTGATGAAATGCAGTTTGTACGTGTATGTTAATGCAGCAACGTATCGCCGTAGGCTGAGGCTCTGGAGCTCCGTCCCGGGACCAATGATGCGCAATGCACGGCGTTGGATGCTATCTAGGCGTGCAAGATGGGAGGGAGCAGCTCCCATCCAGACGAGCGGAGCATACTCCAAAACGGGTCGTACAAGCCCCTTGTACACCATGAGCCGGCCTTCTCGGGATAGATAGGGCGCAGTTAGCCGCAGGAGGCCCAAACGCTGTTTTGCCACGTATAGACACTGCGCGGATGTGCTCCGCGAAGGACAGCTTCGGATCAAAAGTCACCCCCAAGAGCTTTATTATGGATGACTCTGGCACAGGGTTGCCTCCAAAGAGGAGAGAGGGCAAGGCTAGCTGCGCTCTTTGCAGCGTGACTGTCATAGCCTGGGATTTCGATGGCTCAAACGCTACACGCCATTCCTTGCCCCAGTCTGACAGACGATTGACAGTGTCCTGAAGCAAGGCAGCAGCAGTGGGAAGGTCGTTACGGAGAAGAGTGTACAATGTCGTATCGTCAGCATAGGCTTCCAGCTGCGTGTTCCCAGCAAGGCATGTTGATACGTCGTTAATGTATATGAGAAACATGGTTGGCCCCAAGATTCTGCCTTGTGGGACTCCCGCCTTGATGGGGTATGGACGGGAGGTTGCACCACCGACAACACACTGTATGCTTCGGTTAGACAGGTACGATGTCAGCCATGCAAGGAGGATTCCTTGGATGCCACATTGCTGTAGCTTGAAGAGGACACCTGCGTGAGAGACCTTGTCGAAGGCTCCAGCGATGTCAACTGCAAGTACGCGTGCTGCGCCCCCGCGTCCGATTGAGGATGCCCAGGAGTGGTGTAGCGCCGTAAGAGCGTCGGCTGTACCCAGATTCCGTCTGAAGCCAAACTGATTCGCTGCAAGCAGTGAGTTACCCTCGAGGTAGTTCGTAATTTGCATGTTGATAATGGTCTCCATTACCTTGGATATCACACTAAGGAGAGATACAGGGCGGTAGTTCTTGAGCTGTGAGCAAGATGAGCGTTTATGCACAGGAACAACATTGGCGAGCTTCCAGGCCTGAGGTTGGTATCCATGCCGGAAGCACAATGAGAAAAGCTTGGTCAGGACCGGTGCGAGCACCGAAGCGCATTCTTTCAGGACACGGGGGGGGGGGGGAGATGCTGTCCGGCCTCGTGGCTTTTGACGCGTCGAGACGGCGCAGGAGGCGGTGAACATTCTGGATGCGGAAGTGGACGTGGGTGAGTGGTGGATGTGGGTGAGCAGGCGCTGGGGTTCCAAGGGAGGCACGATGTAGGTCCCTGTCACCCAGGCTGCACTTGCCAGCAAAGAAGTGACCAAAGCAGTCAGCCTTCTCCTTGCTGGTGATGTGTTCCTTCCCGGCATTGTCGAGGAGGAGGGGATGTCAGAGTTTCGGCCAAGACCGCATGCTCCTTTCAGGTTGCACCACCATGCCTTGTCGCGAAGCGAGCTGCAGGTGAGCCGGGCCCGAAGGTACCGTTCCTTCTCCTGCCTGGAGTGCTGAAGTGTGGTGGTAGCGCGGGTAACAGAGTCGATGAAGGATTGCTTCTTGACATCATTGCCGAGGTCGTGCCGCCATTTCCTCCGTTCTCTTTCCTTGATACGCATCACTTGTGTGCACTCAGGGGTCCACCACTTGGGATCAGATGAGCGGATGACGAGAGTCTTATGGGGAATGAACTGGTACATGCCTGCAGCGATGGTATTGGTGATTTGTAAGCAAGACAACTCTGGATCGTCGGTGATAATGGAGGCCCAAGGGACAGCCTTGAGGTGTGCTCTGAGTCGTCCCCAGTCAGCACGCTCGTAACGCCACACAGTACGCGTGGTGGCCTCTCCCCGGCATGGTGAAATGGTCGGGAATTGAGCTATCACAGTTCCATGATCTGAGCGTCCAAAAGGGGCAAGTATAGTGGTGCTGATGGATTGTTGGAAAGTGGACATGATTAGGTCTAGTGTGTTGGCACCTCGAGTGGACTCTCGGACATGTTGCATGAGCTCGTGGGTGATACAAAGATCCTCGAGGGCATCCCCGGCCGGGGTTGACTTCGTGCTACCAAGCCAATCTGCACTATCCACGTTGAAATCCCCAGCGAGGATTACGTTCGGGGACAGCTCTTTGGCCTGATGTAGTGTATCGTCAAGTGAATCGATGAGACAGAGGTCGGTGGGGCTACAGGAGCCTGGACGGTGCACAGAGCCGATCACCAAGCTTGTGCCACCACGGAGGCGGACTTTAACCCAGAGTGTTTCGTGTTCTGCAGACTGGAGTTGGTCTAGATGAGCAGAAGCAAGGGTGGACTTGATCCACACAGCGATACCTCCGCCGTGCTTGTTCCGGTCTCTGCGATATGGGACGCCGTGTCCAGGGATGGACGAGTCAAGGCTAGGTATGGCATCAGCAGAGAATTTAGTTTCAGTGATAATTGCTACATCTATGTCGTGCTGGTTGAGTGCATGCCTCAGGTCGTCCAGCTTGTTACGAAGGCTACAGGCATTAGTCACCAGCAGTTTGAGTCCTGTTGCAGAATTAGGGTCACCCAGTGCTGCCATCATTCTTTATCATTGGTCAGCTGGCATGATAGTTGCATCAAACTTGGTCTTGGTCACAGCAGCGATGTCAACATTGTGATGCGTGACAGCGTGGACAAATTCTCCAAATTCGTTTGCTAAGCTAAAAGCATTAGTCACCAGGAGGCGGAGTGACTGGGTCAAGGAGGTAGGTGGTGCTGTGGGTGTTACATTATAGTTATAGTTCTGCATTTTTTCTTTTCTTTTTCAAGTCATGATTGGACTCTGGCAAGCTGACTAAATCGTGAGCCTGTAGCTAGATTTGTTGGCTTCCGGGAATCCTTCTTCTTCACCCCAGTTGCCAACTCTGGTGAGGACTCAGTGCTGGCATTCCTGCCTCAACGTTCAGGCGTGAACCAAGTGTGGATCGCTTCCGTGTTGATGTTTGATGCCACTTCTGATAGGAGTCGCTCTGTCCGTTCTAGATCTCGCTCTGCAATGTCTACTTCGACGTCCGAGAGGGGAGTTCTGGGGTGTGCTGTCATGCTTGACAGCGATCCCTGTGCGGACGACAAGTTGTTCGTAGATGTTTTCACATACGACGGAATCTGCATGTTGGGGCGAAGAGAGCATGTGGCGAAGCGGATACCAGTGGCAATGGCGAGCCCTGACTTCGTCTTGACAAATCCATGGCGAAGAGGCCCAACGGCCGATCCATAGACACCCAGGCTTTCGATAATAACGCCGTCCTGGACCCAGATGGGCACATCGTGAATTTGGATTTCCACGGAATCAGGCACCAGTTGAGTGACGCGCACTTCCACTGACATGAGATGAAAACCGTTTCGGCAAAGTCGTGTCAGAGTGTCTCGGGAATGAAACGTGGCCTTGCAGCTCAAGTTACTGGTCAGCTGCACGGATATCAGGTCGGAGTAGCCATGTTCAATCAGGGCCTCAGCAACTTCGAGGGTTTCGTGTGCAGTGGAACGTGGAAAGTCCCCGTGTTCCTCTTTAGAACTTTCGGAGAGACCGAATTCCAACTGCGATTTTCACCGGACGTGGGCATTTTGGAACGCTCTAACTATCTACTGCCTAATT